GAACAGGAGATGGAGAAGGGGTGGAGTAGGGGCAGGAAGGGGGGGGGCAGGCTGAGGCCGAGTCACCTACTGCCGCTGATGCCAGACCTCCCACGAATGCCCCAGACTATGCTAAACTCTGCATCCCCCGGGAGCCTAGGGCCCTCCCAAAGTGTGGGGCCTGCAGCAGCTGCCCCAGTCCATCCTATGGATGGGACAACTCTGAAAATATCAGCCCAAACACAGAGGCTACGTCTACACTACAAGGTTTTTGCGCAAAAACCGACGGAGTGTCCACAAGTCAAGTGCATTTTTGCGGGGGAAAAGAAAAGGTAAATCAGCAGGACAGAGGGCTTTTTCCAGTAGAGTTGTTCCTCTCCCCACAAGGAATAACTCCTTTTTGTGCTACAACTCTTGCGCAAAAAGGCAGGGTGTGGAGGCTCCACAGGGGTTTCTTGCGCAAAAAGAGTCTATCAGAAAAAGCACAGAATGGCCAACAGAGCTTTCTTGCGCAAGAGTGTCCATGCAGGGTGGACGCTCTCTTGTGCAAAAGCACATCACTTTTGTGATGCGCTTTTGAAGTGTGGAGGCGCTTTTGCACAAGAAGTTTTTATGGAAGATCTCTTCTGCAAAAAGCTTCTTGCACAAAAACCCTGCAGTGTAGACAAAGCCTGTGGGACCTGAGTCCATGTTCCTGAATATCGGTGTCACACGGGCAGGGGCAGATGACCGTTTTGCGGGGCCCCGGGCAGCATAATTCTGCAGGGCCCCCCCTTTGCCACGGCGCATGCGCAGCGGCGCCACGGCTCATGCATGGGGCTTTCTGAAGCGCGGGGCCCGGGGCGGCCGCCCCATTCACCCTGCCCTATATCCGCCCCTGCACACGGGCATGATGGGCCTTTATAACTTGCTACCTTTGGCCCCTCAACATGTATATTACACGCATTGTGCATACTTGCTACCCAGCATCCATACCAGCCACCAGAGCTTCATTCTGTCTCATCCCCATCCCATCATCACTTACACCCTCCCTGAAGCCACTGCTGACCTGGATCCATTTTGCCTGCCTACGAGTAACAAGTCTCTGGGAAGTTCATGTCAGGCAGGAGTCCAGGACATTTGCCATCCCAATCTGCCCAGGATCAGCCATCGGATGCCACTTCTACCGCAGCTCTCCACCCCCATTCCCGAAAAAGAGATCCCCTCTTCCCCCACACACTCACAACACCACCCAGCAGTTTTCCCAGAGGTGGGGCAGATGTCCAAGGAGACAGCTCTAAGTCAGGCAGAGAGGGGTTCCAGCAGCCAGGGCCAGATTATCCCAGTTCCATCTGGAAGGATCAGAGAAGTTGCATGAAATATCCAGTCTGGGTTCCCCTGTGGCTGTCACAGCTAGGATGGGCTAAGTGCACTAGCAAGCAAGCAGATCTCAGCAGCCAGTCACGTCAGGCACTAGAGGACTCTTTTGATGCTTCATTTCATGGCAGGGGGGAGAATAATCAGCCCCAAGAAGGCCCCAGATCTCCGGCTCCAGGCCCCTTTTCACAGACCGGATCCTCAGAAATCCCACCATTCCCCAACTCGGGGCTCAGGACACTAATAAAAGATGGAGCTAATAGTGTCCAGCCCTCAGGTCCTGTTTGGGTGCAAGTGGGGCTTGAGCCAAACTGTGACCCAACATTTTGGGGGTTGGGGTGGCCCATTTTAAAAAGAGGGAAGGAAAGGCAGCGGCATGGGTCAGATCTGGAGGTAATCTTCCCCAATGGGAAGGTACGGGGTGGGGAGATGTTGGTTTACACATGGAATGATGGAATCTAAATTAGGAGTTACCACTTGAGAGCGATCTTGGAATTGTGGTTAGTTCTCTGAAAATGTCCACTCGCAGCAGTCAAAAAAGTGAACAGAAAAAATTAAGAAAGGAATAGAGAATAAGGATACAGGTATACTGCAGCCTTCTTCTGCAAAAGCTTATGCAAATGCTACAGGTATACTGCAGCCTTCTTCTGCGAAAGCTTATGCAAATGAAGCACAGAGTAGAATATTGCCATGCTTCATTTGCATAATTAATTAGCAGCCATTTTTGCGCAAGAGGCTTTTGCGCAAAAAGGAGCTGTGTAGACGGCTCTTTTTTGCACAAAACCCCCCTCTTGCACAAGAGCCGTTCTTCCTCATTTTTTCAGGAAGAATGGTTCTTGTGCAAGAGAGTTTTGCGCAAAAAGGAGCCATCTACAGAGATCCTTTTTGCACAAAAGCCTCTTGTGCAAAAACAGCTGCTAATTAATTATGCAAATGAAGCATGGCAATATTCTACTCTGTGCTTCATTTGCATAAGCTTTCGCAGAAGAAGGCTGCAGTATACCTGTAGCCTTATTCTCTATTCCTTTCTTAATTTTTTCTAACAGAAAATATCAGATTATCTCAATATAAATCCATGGTATGCCTGCATCTGGAATAGTGTGTGCAGATGTTGTGGCTTCCTCTCAAAAAAGATATCTTGGGATTGGAAAAGGTTCAGAAAAGGGCAACAAAAATGAGTACACTGCTATTTGAAGAGAGATTAACAATACTGGAACTTTTCAGCTTGGAAAACAGACAACTAAGGGGGGATATGATAGAGGTTGATAAAATCATGAGCAGTGTGCAAAAAATGAATAAAGAAGAGTTATTTACTCCTTCTCATAACACAAGAACTAGGGATCACCAAATGAAAATAATAGGCAGCAGGTTTTAAATAAACATAAGGAAATATTTGATCACACAATGCATAGTCAACTTGTGGAACTCCCTGCCAGAGGATATAGTGAAGACCAAGACTTTAACAGTATTTAAAAAAGAACTAGACACATTTACATAGGATAGGTCCATCTATGGCTATTAGCCAGGATGGGCAGGAATGGTGTCCCTAGCCCTGTTTGTCAGGGCTCGGAATGGACAACAAGGGAGGGATAATTTGATGATTACCTGTTCTGTTCATTGCCCACAGTTGGCAGAGAGGATACTGGGCTAGACAGACCTTTGGTCTGAGTCAGTATTGCCAGTCTCGTGTGCATATGGTTTTATGACTGACACTTGGAAGTCCTGGAATGAACTTCTGGTTTCATTGAAGACAAAGCTCCAATTGACTTCAGTGGAGCCAAAATCTCACCCCGGATGTTTACCTAAATTCTCTAAAGCTCTTGGCTGTGTCTACATTGGCATCCCTTTCCGGAAAAGGGATGCTAATGAGACGCTTTGGAATAGCAAAATCCGCGGGGGATTTAAATATCCCCCGCGGTATTTGCTTTAACATGGCTGCCGCTTTTTTCCGGCTTGGGGATAAGCCGGAGAAAAGCGGCAGTCTAGACATGATTCTCCGGAAAATAAACCCTTTTCCGGAGGATCTTTTATTCCTACTTTCAAGGATCAATAAAAGATCCTCCGGAAAAGGGTTTATTTTCTGGAGAATCACATCTAGACCCCCGCGGATTTTGCTATTCCAAAGTGTCTCATTAGGATCCCTTTTCCGGAAAGGGATGCCAATGTAGACACAGCCCTTGAGTTTATGAACTCAGGCAGGAGGTTTCCCAGAAATGGACTTTCTGGGCAGTGACTAATCCTATATATTTCTGTCTCAAACAAGGTCTGGCTCTATGAGTAGGGAGTTTCAGGGAGACCTGTAGGACGGGGCTTTCTTTGAATTTGATCCAAACTGGTTCCCGGGGGAGGAATCCCACGGGGAAATCCTGTGATAATTCTGACAGTCAGACAGGAGGGAAAGCCAAGAAGGGACATCTGCACATCTTAGGAAGTTTCTGCTACCTCTGCAGTTCCCCCAAGCCCTATGCCTCTTGGGAAACTCTGAATTTATGACTAGGGAGAAATGCACCAGTCCCTGTGTTCTTTATACCACAGCCCAGTCCTGAGGCCACAACCTGCTCAGGGAACAATGTTTACAACTTTAGCCCAGACCATTGTTAGGAAAGGAGAGCACTGGACAAATATGCAACCTAATCCAACTTTCTCCCAGCAGCTGGAGATGGAGGGTCAGGTCCATCCTTGAATCAAGCATTTTTGCTCAAATCAAGTGGCAACTGATCCATGGATCTATCCACAGGGAGCAGGACTAGAGGACCTTTGTGGTCCCTCGCACCCCTCTGGTTCTACAGCCTGATCTTTCTCAGTTCCCCCTCCCCAGCTCCATCTATGGTTCTTCTTCTGTGTTTTCTTTTAAACCTAAGGCCTGATTCCCCTCCCCCACACACCAGCCATGTCCTTGAGTAACTCGGGAGACTTCAGTGGTGCTTTTCCTGATCTACACTGGGGAGAGTGAGATGAGACTCAGATAAACATTTCATAACACTTAAATGTTCTTTGAATGAAAACAAGTCCCTCTATTTTCCAATGAGAAATCCCAGGAGCAGTCTGCCCCTTTCTTAACCCCTCAACCTTTACCTGCAGGTCTGTGCAACACAACAGGGTGCTGTAAGGGAATTTCCATATCCTACTGCCTCATTCTTCCGATGCTCATTGCCTATTGCCATATGCCCCCCCCCCCCACCTCCTGCTTATGACCTTCATACCAGCCTTAGCAGGCAACTTCTGCATTATCCTTTATACCCATGCTGTAGTCCGACAAACAGATGGTGCTGTCAGAGACAGATCTGTTTTGGTTTCATCTTGGCTTGTAAGTTGCATTATTTCACCCAGGAACCTAGCACATACAATTCCATCGGCAGGGATGTGAGTAGAAACCACTGAGCAGAAAACTGTGTACAGCTATTCCCTCCTTCTACACCCTCCCCACGTCCACCAACAGCACACAGGAGATAAGGTGACCTTTCCAATTGAAATACTGATTGCCACAAATTACATTATAAGAGGTTCCCCCCAAAAAACATGTTGAAATCTGAGAAGTGCTGTGAAATTGTCTTTGATCAGAGCCAATAGGGACTGAGAATGGTTCCTGTCTATCTGTCACTCATTTAATTTAATTTAATTTAATTTAATTTCTTTTAGGTTTGTTTCTTTTTATTTTTAAATACCTGATCAGTATGGAGACCCCAACGTCCTCACAGTTGGTGTACACTCTGCTCCAGGTCTCTTGAATCACCTTTTTCTCGGCATCTGACAGCTCTTCACTCCTTTCCCATCTTTCAATCTCCATTTCTCCCTGGACTTTCTCCATGAAAAACAGCCGGCACAATCCTCCAGGAAGCCAGGAGGAGATTGAAAAGAGAGATGTGTGTGTATGTGTATCCTCTGAGAAAGAAAAGGTATTTGTTAGGTGGTGCAGCAGATGATATTGTCTCTGTCTATGTCTGTGTGTCTATGTCTGTGTGTGTGCGTGTGTGTGTGTGAATGTGTGTGTGTAATTAAAATATATCCAAGAGATATAATGCATGTAGTTAGATTTCAAATCTTCTAGTGCTGTCCATTGCTGTAGTTTGCTTCAGCTCAGTGTGTGCATGTATGACTCTGACTCTGATGGGAAACTGACTAAAAGTAAAATATTCAAAGGCATTGCAAGACCAGCCTCTTTACCAATGTGTGAACGTGAGCTCACTTTCTCTCCCTCTCTCTCCTCCTCTCCCTCTCTCTCTCTCTCTCCTTGAACAGAGAGAAATGAAAAAGAGGTTCTGTGGAACATCAGGATCCTCTGCTTAGGGGATTTTATGACTACAGGTCTTTTTTCAGCCTTTGTAAACAACTTTGAGGAAATGCAGCATCTAGAGTGAGCAGTTAAAGTTATCCCAACAGCTGGCTTAGCCTTTTCTATTTCTTCTCTCTCTTGCGTTACCTAATGTTGCAGGAAATTGTGTTTGGAAGGAAAAATCCCTGCTTGCTTTTGATTTCTAGTCTGTGTGTTTAAGGTGGGGGTGGAAGGCAAAGGAGAGAAAATACCTATTAAATCAATGTTTAACTTCAGCTTGAGCTAAATTATTTTCTGTCCCAAGGGGATGTTTTTAATTATAAGAATTTGCTATGTCTTCTTTTCTCCAAACACAATGGGAGAGGAATGTGGGCTTAGGAGACTCCTGGAGAAAACATATGGGTATATTATTATTGGTGTTTATCATTTTGTAATGGGAAGTGCATTGTTCAGCTATTCTTTCCTCCTGCCCCCCCCCTCCGGCCCCCATCTCAGGTAGCACTTTGGCAGGCAGGAAAGAAGAGTGAATTAGAGGAGAAGAGAAATACTTGTGTTATTGGTCAGGAATACGATACCTGCTGCACAGACATTTGCATATAGACAGAGAGAAAAATCTTACAGGGAGGTGTAGTAACAGACAATATCCAGAGGGGGATTGGAGACAGAGAAATTGACGGACTGAAAAAGTGTGTAAATATATCAGTCTCTCTCTCTTTTCCTTCATCTGGTTTGCCTGTCTGTGTATACTCCTGCAGACAGAGAGCTCCATTAGACAGACTGACAGACGGGTCAGTGCTATAGTGATGGAGAGGTAGATGCTATAGGCAGACAACAGAATCCATGTGAAAGACAGGCCCACAGGTGCTACTGAGGATAGCCAGGCAGAGCAGTCTGATTTTGTTTTCTGAAGCAAGGGCCATGCCGAGCACAGCTGGTTGCTGGAGCATGTGTGCGCCACAAAGCAGAGAGTGTTATCTTGTGCTTGTAACCCAGCTGGGCATGGGGGATGCTGCTGGAGCAAGCATGTACCTGTGGAGTGCTCTCTGTGACTTCCCATCACCTATATAACCTAGGAGCCAAGAGGAGAGCCCGGGCTAGGGGGGCATCTACACTGCACCCTTCCTGCGAAATAACCTACACAATTTGTGCTACTCAAATTGCGTAGCTTATTTTGATCTAATTTCAAAATAGCTTATTTTGAAATTTGGTGCTGTCTACACAGTGGCTATGTCTACACTGCAGGGGGTTTCAGAAAAAGATACACAAATTGCAAACTGCTTGTTTTCTGCTTGTTTTTTTTTTTTAAAGAGGCTTTTCTGACATTTAGCCCGTCTACAGGGGGCCAAATGTCAGAAAAACCTCCTCTTTCAGAAGATCCCTTATTCCCCATAAAATGAGGAATACAGGGCTTCCAAAAGAGTGCATCTGCTCTTCTGAAAAAAAAATGGATTTTTTTTCCTAGACGCGGCGGAGTTTTTCCGGGATACTTCCGTTATCCTGGAAAAAACTCCGTAGTGTAGACATAGCCAGTGCCAAGGGTAGAAATAAAGTGCTATTCTGCAATGTCCCTTAACCCTCGTGGAACACTCAAAAGACACGGAATAGCTATTTTAGGATACTTCCAGTATCCCAAAATAGTGCTGCAGTCTAGCCATAGCCAAGCTGAACAGTGGAATGCAGACTGCGGTGCTATCTGTTAAGGTTCTCCCATGATCCTCCTTGGATCTGAGTACCCAACAGTCTTCAATGCAGCCCTCTGAAGGAGAGAAGTGCTCTTAACCCATGCAGGGAACTGAGGCACCTGGACCAAGTGACTCATCAAGGTCACACAGGAAGTCTGGGGTAGCCCAGAAATTGAGCTCCTGTCTGGGGATACTAGGGGAGCACACTAACCACTGACCCATCCTCTAGAGCAACAGGTGCCCTCTAAAGCAATTTGCCTTGGTTTTCCCATGGTGCTTTGCTTTTGGTCACTGTATGGCTGTCTTTTCTCCTTTGCTGCAGTTCCCTCTTGCTTCCAGGGGCACTTCATGTTCCTCCTTTTCTCTTTTGGGGCCTGACTCTTGTCTCTGTTGCTAATGGCTTCCCGTGACTCTTCTGATCAGCAATAGGGAGAAGATAGAGGAATGGGTGTGGTGGAGTAACACTTCCCCATGTAGCCAATCAAGAGACTATGGGGCATTTTATTTGCACCTAAAAGAGACTCCTGACTGCACATAACACCTGTATTGCCAACCCCTCTCCCCCACACACATTGAAAAATCAATTAACCTCCCCAAATTGCCTTTAAAAGCATGAGATTTCAAAAACTAATACATTTGGGTGGGGTTGATTTGCCTCCTGTTTTTGAGCTTTTGGGGTGTGCATTTTCAAGCCTTTCTTCACAGGCATGAGGGTTAGAAATTTACCTTCTTTTCTGGAAATCTGAGATTTTCACACAATTGCAAAACTCTAGGAGCTGGGGCCTTAACAGAAATGCTAGATACTATATGAATCATGGACATTGCAGCAATAAAAAGTGCTGCAGAATTCAGTACATTCATATATTCTGTAATTGTACCTTTTTGTTAAAATGTAGGAAATTGTGCCCTGGATTGATTTTCAAGAGGGAAATAAATTTTAGTGAAAACTTGAACATAATGAAAAATGAGAAATTGCACTATAGACAATATGAAAGTGTATGCAAATATTCTATGATGAATGTATAGTCTATTTTACTGTTTCCAGTTAGTTACCAATCTCTTACACAGCAGCAGGAAATATTATAAAAAGCAAGAGTATGTGACTATAAGACTGTAATAAAATGGGACACACAAAGAGGGATACAGTATTACCCTGACTCATGTCATGTGGTTTGGGCCAGGCAATAAAGTTTAATCAGTTACTGGCTTAGCTATGTGATCCCCACTCCCCTTTTTTTATTTTTGCCTCATGGCAGTGGTCATTTCCCATGGTTTCCACTGGCTACTGTTACAACAGGCAGGGAGGCCAGAGCAGGTATAGTACTTAAAACATCTTTTAACTCATTTGAAAAAACGAGTTCAAGATGACACTGTCTCTTTAAAATGCTGGAGCTTGCTCATGCTATCATCCGACCAGCATTGTCATTTTAACTGTCATGTGCCATTGCAATATTGCTTTGCCAGGTATGTAAAGTTAGCATTAAGAACATAAGAACATAAGAACGGCCGTACTGGGTCAGACCAAAGGTCCATCTAGCCCAGTATCCTGTCTGCCGACAGTGGCCAGCACCAGGTGCCCCGGAGAGGATGGACCGAAGACAATAATCAAGCGATTTGTCTCCTGCCATCCCTCTCCAGCCTCTGACAAACAGAGGCCAAGGACACCATTTTATCCCCTGGCTAATACAGGCAGGCCCCGGGTTACATGAATCCGACTTACATCGGATCCCTACTTCCAAACGGAGTGAGGCAACCCTGCACTAGCTGCTTCCCCCCAGCAGACCAGGGAGACACGAAGCTAGCACCCCCCCCCCCCAGCATACCAGGGAGACGCGGAGCGGCTTTTCTCAGCAGACACCTCAGCTTGAGAATAAAGGACTGAGGAAAGTGAGGTGAGGGAGAATAAAACTGAGCTCTGGAGAAATGTTTGGCTAGAGTTTCCCCTACAATATGTACCAGTTCCGACTTACATACAAATTCAACTTAAGAACAAACCTACAGTCCCTATCTTGTACGTAACCAGGGGACTACCTGTAGCCTTTTATGGACCTAACCTCCATGAAATTATCTAGCTTCTCTTTAAACTCTATTATAGTCCTAGCCTTCACAGCCTCCTCTGGCAAGGAGTTCCACAGGTTGACTACACTCTGTGTGAAGAAGAACTTTCTTTTATTAGTTTTAAACCTGCTCCCCATTAATTTCATTTGGTGTCCTCTAGTTCTTCTATTTAGGGAACTAATAAATAACTTTTCTTTATCGGCCCTCTCCACACCACTCATGATTTTATAGACCTCTATCATATCCCCCCTCAGTCTCCTCTTTTCTAAACTGAAAAGTCCCAGTCGCTTTAACCTCTCCTCATATGGGACCCGTTCCAAACCCCTAATCATTTTAGTTGCCCTTTTCTGAATTGTGTGTGAAATATACTTACAACATTGTTCAGTATATTCAGGGCCTGATTCGTCCTCTTCTGAGCCCAATCCAGTGCCCAGTGTAGCCAATAGGAGTCTTTCCATTCATTTCATTAGCAGTTGGATCAGCCCATGTGGTGTCATAAATATTTGTGCAAACTAGGTACTAAATGAGAGGAAGGATGGTCCACTGGTTAGCATGCTAGCTGGAGACCTGGCTTCAGTTCCTGGATTTGCACCTGACTCTCTCTTTGATCTTGGGAGAGTCATTTAGCTGCTCTTTGCCTCAGTTACCCATCTGCAAAATGGGGAGATGATCACCTCCCTCCCTGACAGGAGTATGGTGAGGATAATTACATTGCAGATTGTGTGATGCTCTGAGCTATGATAATGGGGTACATAAAAGTACCTGAGACAAACAGAGATGCTACTGAGTGTGCGAGGCCTTGCCTAGTACTGAAGAAGGTGTGTTTTTACAACGAGCTAGCCAATGCAGGACAAGTTGACTTGTCCATATAATTCCCCTAGTGTTATTTAATATTAATACAGTGGTAGGACCGAGAGGTCCCCGGCAAGATTGGGTCCCTTTGTGTTAGGTGCTGTACAAACATGGGAGACAATCATGATGTTCCTCGGTGGCCTCATCTTTATTGTGACTGACTGTTGCTGTGCCTAGCATGGCACAAAACACAAGACCCACAGTCTCTGCTTGAAGGGCTTTCAGTCTAACCTGGGCTGAGTAGTCAGCACATAGCAGGAAGCCCAGGGAGAGAATGACCAGTCATTTGTGGGTACTGCAGAAGTGAGTCCTTTGGAGGGCAGGGACCTGAGAGAGAATTGTGATTTGGTGGGCTGGCTGGGGAGGGAGGCAGGGACTCCTTGTGTGGGGTGAGGAAAGGGTAGCCTGGAGAAAGACATAAGCATGGCCTGGAATGAAACACACATGGAGCCCCCAGGCTG